CTCAGAGAATTAAAAAAATACACCAAAAAAAACCAACCAAACAAAAAGCCAACCCAAAAAACCCCACAAGCGTCCTCAAGTAGCTAATTTTGTCACACAGATCAGAATGTCGTTTTTCCTTAAAGCTGGATAAAAGATCAAACGAAAGATATAGAAAATACAATCATAGTTAGTGAGCTGCATGTTTATGGTGTAACTATTAACGCAAAATTGGATGAAGTGTATTGGATCAAGTAACCTAACTTTTCAAAATGAACCAAAAGTCTTGAGGGTTAAAATTTTACTGATTGATTTCTTAAACATTTCAGCCTTTCCTCTCACATAGAAGAAGTAAATCAACTCCCGATTTAAGTAAGAGATTGAACCTCACTATAAATTAGAGACTCCTAAGAAATATTGCTTCTCTTCCCTTTACTTTTTTAGCTTGAACTCTTCAGGACAGGCAGCATTTGTCATCACCCGAGAAGTATATTTACACTGCGAGCCTTATCCAGCTAAATCTTAAATTATAGCAGTATTACTAACTTGTTTAGCCTGGTTTAGGAAATTTTATAGACATTTGTCCAAGAATCTACATATGAAAATGAAATCACTGAGACTCCTCAGGTTACTTCCTTTCCAAAATCGTGGTAGGTAGGAAATAAATATATGTAATAGAAACATGTATGAAATTAGACAAAATTTATGTTGCAGTAATAAACTGCAAAATGACACAGCAATAAATATAAATCTAGTATAGCTGGGGTTTGTTATTGGCTCTTATGTTTGTTTTTAACATCCCCTGAAGGATTTTTTTTTCAATCAACATATGTTGAAGAAAAACTATATATTATACTAAGAAAAATGTAAGAAAAATTAATATAAAATTATTATGCAGTGAAATTAAAAAAAGAAATAGTACCAAACAGATGTTACTGGAGACTAGACTTGTTTGTAATTCCGTGTTCTAGCCTAGACAAAATCAAACAATGCAGTTCAGGTTCTGCCGTAGTTCTGATTTGAAAATAATTCTGCTACTGCTAATGTTTATCACATCGTCATATTGGAAGCCTATTGGTTATGGTTTTGGCTGTTGTTTATGGTACTAGTAAGAAATAGTGTAAAGATAAAAAAGTGTGTATGCAAGATGAATATACTCTGCAGTTTCTGAGCAAATTTACCTGCAAAATAATGTTAGAACTCCTTCAAATGGATTTTTCAGGGTCCAGTTAAAAATTGTACCACACAAATTTCACTCCATTTCTCTCAGTAACCATGAATTTACTGGAGTCAACGTGCAGTTAGAAGACATAATCTGAAAGGAGAATCTGAGAGATACTGCAAGGACAGCAAATATATCTTCCATGGAACCTGCAAGAAAATACAGTAAAAAGATATTTGACCTCAATAGTTTTGTCATGTTGTATGCATTAAATGTGCTTATATTTTTGGTTCACACTCCTAGTTTTACGTGAAGTTTACACCGACATTCAGGCGTTCTTTTCTTCTCACCTAAATTCTTGTACCTACTTCTGTAAAGCAAAATAGTTGATTAACAGAGCCTCATCTATACAATGAAAGCTCTAAAGATAAATGTCGCCTTGACAAAAAAGACTATTAATAGGCTCGTGTGATAGTAAGATGACATGCTGGCTTTAGCTAAAGATACAGCATTAAAGGAAGAAAGAAATTAAAATTCACTGCAAATGATCAAGAAGGATATTTTGCTACATGAGCGGAAGCCCGGCTCAAAATCAATTCGATCAGAAATATGAAAAAAAAGGAAAATAAAAGACCTTAATAAACATGCAGATGAGCAAAAGCTTCAATTACATTGGTATTATTTAAGAGGTAATACTATGTCAGAAAAAAAATCTATGTATCTAATAAACAGTATCTTATTTATAGAAAAAAAACAGGCTTCAGCATTCTGTACCCAGACTTCTCTTCAAAATTAACCTTTCCAGATACACTTCAGAACCAACACTAGCACAAAAGCTTACAGCAACTCACTTAACAGTTATTCCATTTTAAAAAAATGTTCCATGCTGTATTTCACTCAGCTTTTAATTCCCAACGGATCTATGCAGTTTGTGTTCAAAGACAGAGATGTGATTACACCTTGAAAACTTAGCTTGGCATCACCTAAACAGAAGAATCAAACATATATTTATGAACCAAATTATATCAATCCATTTACCTGTACAGTAACTATTATCCCTTAGCAACTTTACTGAATATTTTCCATCTGAGATATCTTCCAGACTTAAAAAAAATTTCCCACAGAGTACAGCAATCCTTTTGCTCTCCTGTAAACTACCATTCTGATGTTTTTGCATCTTCGCATGTAGAAGAACTACGCAACATACACGATGAAATGCCAATAATGGTGAAAGGCTGGTAACAGCAATGACTGTCTTTGCTCCATCCCGATGAACCTTTGAACATCTCTCAGGAAACTCTTCTTTCAGAGCGTTCTTGCTATGCAAGTCCAATTTCATCTTTTTTTGAGGAGGCTCAATTTGACACAAGGAGACAGTCAATGCTGGGAAGGCTTTGTTCAGCTTAATGATTTTATTTCGACACTCGATAATCGGAGAAATTGAAGGGAAGTCTTGATCCATCACTAAAGACAAACTGACATCACTCAGTGACCTGCGAAAATCCATATAAGATGACTGCATTCCTAGTTTGTATTTTGCCTTCTGACAAATAACCAGAACTTTACAGACATTTAAGACTACCACAAACTCCAACATCATTTCAGGTTAAGTCATAGACTGTGCAAAGAGTGTAAGCCCTTCAAATGACTATTTCGTCTAAGCTTAGTATAAAGATTTTCAAAACATGGAATGATTTTTTTAAGAGCTTCTAGGAGTTAGATGCCTCATTTCAACTGAAAGAATTTGGATATCTAATTCACCCAGAAAATGTTGAAAATTCCACATAACCCATGCAGATACTCTATGACATTTATGATGTATTTTTAAAGACTTTACTTTCTTTTAATAAAAAATTACATAAAGTATCAATTCTGACTAAAAAGCTCTTCTGATGTTCTATATTGTTTTACAGATATTAAAACAAAATTGCATGTAGAGAGTAAAAGGTTTAAAATATTATTCCCTTAAATATGCAATAATTTCCTGAAATGTGTGAAGTACATTATTTATTCAATACAAGGTTCTCTCAATGAAATCCTAATATTACTGTTTCAAATCCTGTCTCAATAAATATTTTATTCTGTCAATCAATTCAGTCTCAAGATGTCACTGACATCTGAAAGTCTTATGAATGTCTAATTTTCTTTATGGAGAAGTATCACCACCTAATAATGCAATTTAAGTCATCACTGCAATCTTGCATTAGTAGGAAGCACAAAAATAATCAATAAAAACTTATACTATTGGAGGTGGAGACAAAACAAGCCCTTTCCCCCCAAAACACGGGTTGTATATAGTATCGAACTGGAGCCCAGAAGACCTAGGTTCTGCTGCTAGCCTACCAGGTAACCTTTGACAAATTGCTTCATCTTCACAGATCTTTTCTCAGCTGTAAATATTGGGGAGAGGGCAATAAAGCTGATGTTTTTTAAAGAATGGTTCCAAATCTTCTGAGGATTTCTGAAGCTATACGGGAATTAAGTATTTCATTTTCAAAAACAAAGTCATCATCATCAAAGCTAAAAGAATAAACACTGGAAAGGCAAAAACAATCTCTTGACTCAGTGGCTCTTAACAGAGGCTGTCAAGAAGATGAGGTCAACTTTCTTGTGAAGTTATAGCAATCTGGCAGATGAGAAATAATATACCTGCAGCTCCAGAAGAACGGCCAAAGGGCGTAACAGGTCAGCTCCCTCACAACCACTTGAATGATTTTCAGTGGCATCAATAGTCTTTAAGCTTACCCTAACACAGTCTCAGCTACACTGCTTGTGGGAATATAGGTCAAAAGGTAAATTCTGACTCCACCAAAGTTCACATTACACAATGGATGTGGTAAATTTACGTTTTGTGTAATCCTGTTTTTTTAAACTGTGTTCCAAATTAGTTCCCTCCCTGTAAGGTAGAAATGATGTAAGTACTATTTGCAACTAGAACTGAGCAATTAAAATGAACCAAATAAATAATTTTAAAGACAATAATAAGAATAAACAAATCATTCTGAAGGTTTAAGTACTGTAAGGCTGATTGTTCCACATAATTTACACTATACATAAACTTAGCAAATATTTTATTTGATTGGATACTTGACTGTAGCATAGTTCAGTTCAAAAGCTGTGTATTTACTAAATTGATCAGAGAATTTAAAATGTTTTCTTTTGTGCTTCTTTAAGCAAGTTGCTCTTTAGGAATGGCAAGATGTTAACAGTAAGGCATCAGGAACTGTATAGCTAAGGCAGAGCTTTAGCCACACCACATACTCGTGTCAGCATAGCTGTGTCAACACAGACTACAATGAACCATAATTTTTGTCAAAAAATTCTGTTGTAAAAAGCCTCCAGTAATGATGTGGTTATATGGACACAACTGATTTTTGGCTATACAATGTATTTATTTTGCACAGTGCTAGAGAGAGACAAGCAGCAGCAACAATACTGACAGACACATACTTGAAACACTTTATATACAGATGTTCAAAATGAGAAAGTTCAAAGCTCAAAAACCCACTCTTGCTACTGCAAAGCTTAATATGCAATATATTACTTATCATAAAACTTCTCAATTAAATTATTAGATAAATTTATATACTTACAAGTAAAATGACTCAGTTAGTTTCACTCCGACTACCAGGCTGTCACCCACAACACGCTGCCACAATTTCTCTACGAAGTGCTCTGGGACATTAGACGCCAATGTCTCCTCACTAAGAGAATGAGGACGATTTTCTACATCATCCCAGAGAGAGACAAGACCTTCCTTACAGAAAAACGTTTTTTTTAGATAAATTAAGTGGAGATTCTAGTTCTTTTTATACTGTGTTACTTCATGTTTACCACAAATGATTGCTGGAAGTGCTGTTAAGATACATAAAATGAAATCTATATAAACTAGCTTATCCTCTACAATAGATTCAAAAGATAGAATTGCATTTTCTTAAAACACATGACATCATGAAAAGCACAACTCGTTGTCTCCTTGTAAACATCACATATATAAATCTTGAACTGTCATACAATCAGTTGTCCAAAGAACATTTAAGGCACTTGAATTTATTTTATATTACTGCATTGATTACTCAAAATATTGTTGTCTAAACCTGGCTGACTTGGAAGGGACCACAATATTAACTGAAAGGGAGACCAACTTCATTTCAAGTAAATTCGGAGGCTTCTTTTGAGCAACATATTAAGATAACATTTTCCCAACCTCCGCCACCTTCTCAGCCCACAGTTCACTCTGCCCCCATTATAAAATCAAGTTTGTTTACGAAGATCTATGACAGCTCATTTTTCATAACATGTTAGATCACAGACAGATATTGAATACCTAGGCAACTGTGCCAATTATGACTGACACTCCCCCTACAGTTTGCCACTAACTCTCTGTTAGAGGTTACTCCTTCATATAACTCAGTTGCCAGGAGGTATTGTGCAAATCAGTTTCAAGTTAAGACAACTAAATTTACTCTTATCTACATACGTTGGCAGCTTAAGGTAATGAACCAGACTCTAAAAAGCAGATTAACAAGTTTTGATAGTGACAACCCCTACTGGTAAAAGTAACAAGCGGCTGAGGGCAGCAGCACCCTCTACAAATGGCTCGGCAGAATTCAGAAGTGATCTGTACTCTCTTTGGCATTTTACCTCTTTTGCAGTTGGTAGAATATGGGTTCTTTCTTCAACAAGATCTATTAATGCTCTGCAAGATTCAAGGATAACCTTCTTTTTGAGCTCTAAATGCTGCTGTAGCTCTCGGACAGAGGTGTAACCAGCCTGTAAAAGATAAAAATTATCATTAGACTTATGCTTAGGTTTACGGTAAATAAGAACTGATATTGAAGCTATCAAGACATCTTTTCAGCTTTCTATTTTTATGCAAGTGTCAGAAGCCAAGATCCTGGCATACCTCAAGTAATGCTTCTAAAAAATGTTCAAGTCAGGCTCCTCTGTTATTAAAATACGAATCTAAGTCTTGGCCTCTCAATATTAAACTTAGAGTTTAAGATAAACTTAGGTAAATTTTAGCAAATTATGTACATATTTGCCTCTTTCGTTATTGTTCCTGCTTCACTCTTCCATTGATATCAGTTTTGATCTCTTCTCAGGACTTGTATTATTCATTGGTCTAGAAAATAAATATATTGAAGAGTCGACAGTTTTACAAACTGTTTTACATACATGCAGCCTAGTCTCAAAGAAAAAAAAAAAAGCAGCATGCCAGTGCCAGCTTCTTACACTTTAAAAAAGCTCCACAAAAGCTATTCTCTGGAACCCTGTAACCTCAGGTGTTGTAATGTAAACTGCAGTACTCTGCCAAAGGAAGTCTTCAGAAGACACTAAAATAAGTGCTAAAGAAAAGAAATCTTCAGAGGACAAAAGGCTGGACTGAGGCCCCAAAGACTGTATACAAGATAAACACAGAACAATTAAAAAATGCACGCTGATATATTTTTCCATTTTACCACCTGCAAAATGCAACTAACATGTATTATTGTGTATAATTTAAATGCAGCATATTTATATGCAGTCATAATTCAGTCCTGCTGA